TCGGCACAGGACTCGTGCACGCACTTCCACAACCTGTGGAAAATCGTGTCCTGCTCCTTGCCGCACAGGGGGCAGAGCAAGTCGGGCAAAATGTAGCCGTGCTCTGACGCTCTAACCTTGGTCCACGGGGCCTGACAGACGAGCCCGCGGATACAGCCTTTCTCCCAAGGCGTGAACTTAGACGGAGCCATAGCACGGAGCGGCACGTCTAAGCAAGCACGTCGCTCAAGACCAAGGCTGTCTCCGTAGGCACGCTCATGAAATCTGAAAACGGCGAGACGCAGCAGACGTTTGAGGAGGGCAGGAGAGACAAGCGTCAACTGAACTTCCACCCCCAAATCGCCAACCAAGGTAGAGAAAGAGGGCATCTTCCACCCAAGACGCTCCACGGACAACCTGAGGGCCCCAACGGGACCTCCAACCTGCCTCCAGGAGGGGGAAGGGCCCGCAAACACAGTACTCCAAGCCCCCCTGAGCTCGGCCAAGCTGAGGCCAAACTCGAAGGAGGCCGTCAGGCTGGCCCAGATTTCTTTGGACCAGCGCACGATCGGGGCCACAGCACAATACCAAGTGGGGTCGGCGGCGAACAGCAAAGCTGCAGTGAGAGATCGGCCTCCAGCCGAAGGGCTGAGAAACCGTCCAAGGGATCGCCGCAAACTCGCCAACTCATGGTCGGAAGTGCCATGCACCTCACAGCCATAAGTTCTGCTGGCCAAGGGGCCACTCGTATATATACGCTTGGCGTGTCTCCCCAAAGCATTCCTGTGAACCCTCAACCTATGACATTTAGTTTTGAAGGCCTTCTTACGAATCTGAATCTTAGCTCCTCTCCTGGCCGTCCGCCGAGGCTTGCCAGCAGCGTCGTCAATGCCCAGGTTGACAGCAGATGCGCAAGGAGCTCCGCCCACAGCGCCAAGGCCTCGGCGGATCTCCTTAGCCACTAGAGGGACTGAGGCGACCACAGCCGCCTTGCTAACAGAAATAGAGCAACCAAGATCGGACTCGATGGCCACCTGCAATCGGAAAGCAGCTTCGATCAGGTCCTGTACGACGGCCTTGGGAGCCCCCGTGCACGACAAGGTGTAGTCATCGATGTAAACTCTCAACGAGACCGATCTAGGGATGCTAAGGCCGTCTAAGGCAGCTAGCGTGAAGACGCGAATGAAAGTGGTGGCGAATCCACACCCAGCAATCAAACCTCGCCACGCAAACTGCGGGCCCTCCACGCGGCCGTTCATGGCCATGTAGCGGCACGAGCGGTAAGCCTCGTAGCAGACCCTGGCAATCTGCATGGGAAAGGAATGCTGGTGACAACGAGCGAGGAGCGAGTCGAGGTCGACAGCCTCGTAGAACTTCAGAAGATCCCACAGGACAGACCCAGAACAGTCCTTGGAAGCCACAGCAACCTCGCTCCTCACTCCTTGCCTCCAGACGGTATCGACACTGGAGGCAAAAGCGCCAGCACAAAAGTATTCTCGGGCATTGGCCACTTCCCACTGCCGAGCAAGGTCTCGCCTGGCGCGGGCCCACAAACGATACAGAGCAACGAACAGTCCGATTGGGCGGTGCCCGCGACCGGGCTTCGCGAGCACAATAAGCAGCACAACTCTCATCTGACCAGGCAACAGACCCGAACGTTCCCAAATCGCAATCATGATCGACAGCACCTGCAGAGCAGGGTCCGACAGATGCTGAAAAGACCGAACATGAAAGCCATCCACAGAAGAGGCGGTACGAGCAGGAAACGAACGGGCCGTCCGACGAAGATCCTCGACCGAAAGCACGGGCAGAGGCTCGAGAGGCACGAATCTGGAGCCAGAAGGTCGCGGCTCGGGAACAGGTTGGGCATGCCAGATCCGCGCAAATTTCTCGAGCTCGGAAGATAAAAGGGCCCCAGGGTCCGAAACCACCTCGCCTTTAGCCGACAGGGTCGTAGAGGGGGTCCACCCAGCAGCTCCCCGAATCACCCCGTGGGCATGACGGGCGCCGTTTTCAATATTGTGACGAATCCATTCCAACCAGTACAAATGATCATCGTGACGAGACTTGCTCTCAGCCGCCGCCAGGGCATGGGAGACCAAATCAAGCACGCGTTGGGGTTCCCCCTCAGTGACAGGTTGGCACGGGGGGCTATAGGTCACAATATCTTGCACAGCCTGGAGGAGAGTCAATGGCTCACCATCCCAGGTGCCCAGTCTCGACGGAGGGCGGAACAGCTCGCCCGCAGTGTCCCGCAGGTGTTGCTGCCGACGCTCCTCCGAGCTGGTCGCTCTGGCCACCTTGCGTGAGCTATCAATAGCCCTCGCAGAGCAAGACCGTTTTTCATCACCGCAATAGGCAAAAGGTGGGGAGGAGAGAGGCGCCACCTGACAATCAAGGTCTTGACAACCGAGACCGTGCAGCTGAAGCCAAAGGCGGTAGCGCGAGCAAAGCCACCTCAAACTGGTAGCCTCGCGCGAGGTCCGCGAGATGCCATCCATCGAGCGATGCGACGCGTCGACGACGTTGACCCATCGCAGCTGCGCCTGGCGGCCTCTCGTGCCATGAAATGGCAGTTGGGTCTGAAACACACCCTCGAGCTCCTTCTCAGCGGCCGTACCCCACTCCCGATACAACACATCAAGGTTGAACTGGGTTCTATCAGTGTCGCCATTATCGGCCGACTCAAGGGCTCTGGAGGCCATGCGAGACACGAAGTCCCAATCCTTGGATGGTTGGGGAAGGGGACCAGGGGGCCGTTCTTTGGGGAAAGGAGGTGGGCTACGAAAAGTGAGGGCCCGAAGAGACGCAAGCTGAGGGTGAAGCTTAACCGAAGCGGGGTCGTGGGTAGCCAATTCCGAGTCCGCGATAATCTTCACGCTCGCAATAGCTTGGGCGACCCTAGCCTCAACCAAAACATAGTCGTGTATCTTCAAACCCCCAGTCGACCTACAGGTGCCAAGGACACCCGAGGGAACGCAAAATTCAGCACCGAGGCGGTCGGGGATCCGCGAGGTGCACAAGGTCGTTGGTTCCATGTTGAAATCCCCACCGATCACGAATGGCACCGAGAGGCTCTTGGCTCTCGAGGCAATGCACGCCAGGATCTCTCGATTGAGATCGTTCAAGCCAGCGCAATCCTGCAGGTAGACACTCATAACATAGAAACTAGCCTGGCCAGGGAGATGGACTAACACCCCAGTGGCTCGATGATCTTTCACCCGAGGCCCAAAATCGGTGTAGTGAAGACCCAGGAAGGACCGAGCCAGGACCCCGACTCCCGAGGACGGGCCCCCTCCAGGTCCCAAAACTCCTGGCTCAAAATGCACCTTCCAACCATTTCGAACACACCAAGCCTGGGCCTTACGCAGGTCCTCGGCGCTGATGAGCTTGTGCTCCTGACACATGACGACGTGCGCCGTGGTCAAGGCTAAAAACTTCTTGAGGGAGCCCCATGATGTACAGTTTGCCGTGACGAACTCCAACTCTAGCTTTTCCCAGGAAGATCCATCTCGCCGCCAGCGATGTCCCGAGGAACTCGAATCATCCAAAACTGGGCAAGAAGAAGGGATCATGGGGAAGGAGGAGTCCGTCCTGGCTCGATTACCCTGGAGACGGAGCCTTCGCTGCCGCCGCGGTCCTGGGGGCATGAGCGCCCCTCTGGACCGTCTGTCGGGCAGCAGCTCGCACATCTGCTGGGGCTGCTGGGGGGCCCGCTGCCTTGGCTGGCGGAGCGGGCGGAGGCGCCTTGCCCGTCGCAGCCGCCTCGGACGCTGGGGCTCCACCACCAGCAGTTGCAGGAGTACGCACAGCCTCACTGTCAGAAGACGCCGCCGCCGAACCTCCAGATGCAGCGGGTACATCTCCAGCAGCTGCAGTTCCAGCGGCATCCACGCCGTCTCCGCCATCATCACCCTGGCGACGACGCTTGTGGGCCAGGCGCTCCTGCTGTTCCTTGTGCGCGGTTTTGTGCTCCTCAGCGCGCTTCTTGAGCTCTCCAAACAGCTTCGTGCACGTGTCCTTGATACAGTCGGCCATCTGACTCTTGCGGAGGGCTGCCTCCTCCAGGTCTCCCGCCGACACCTCGACGTAGTCCTCGAGCCCGAACAGGTTCCCGTCGTCAACCTGCAGCCCCGTGAGGCGGCCCTCCAGGATGTCGGTGAGGCTGATCGTCGGCATGGACTGCTGCTGCTGCTGTGCCTGCGGCTTGGAGACTGTGAGGTGCAGCTCTGCAGTGGCAGCCTTGTACTCCGCATCGTACTTGTCCAGTTCCGCCAAAGTAGACTCAAGCTGGGCGCGAAGGGTCTCGAGCTTCTGCTCCACAGTGTGTACAGCCTTGAGATCCTTGTCCAACTTCTTCTCAAGCTTCGAGATCTCCTTGTGAGCGGCGTCAGCTCGCTCCTGAGGTGGAACCGACGACCCCTTGAGCTTCTGCAACTCCTGCTGGGCCTGCTGTAACAATACTTGGTTACCCACTCTCTCGCACAGCTGCACCATCTGCTCCAATTCAGACTTGCTGGCTGAGGAAGAAGGGGCTGCAGCCACAGACGACTTGGTGGCCTGTCCAGCGGCGACGCCAGCAGCTTCACGACGAAGGGCCGCTGGGTCACCCCGTGCCTTGTCCCCCGCCGAGCCGTCGTCGATGGGGGCGTTCCACCATTTCTTGCAGTGCTTGCAGTAGCTGAAAAAACTCTCGTTGCGCCTACACCCACAATGGCGGCAGGACCAGCGCGGGCCACGAGCGTTGTCGCCGCCAGCACCAGGCCAAGCCTTGGGAGCCATTGCGAGAGGGCCGTCTTGAGTGATGCCGCGCCAAAAAGGCCCGCTGTCACCCAGCCGTTCTGAAGTGTCAGTGACAGCAAGCTGAAATCTGCTTCAGCCAGAACGGCTAGGAGGAGGAGGAGGAGGAGGAGGAGGAGGAGGAGGAGGAGGAGGAGGAGGAGCGGGGTGACGAGAAGCCACCCGGAGGCCCGAACGGGCCGAAGCACGTCGGGGAGGGCCCTCCCCGTCCCACGCGGCAGGCCGGGGAGGCGACGGCGCTGCTCCAGGAGGTGCAGCACCCCACGCCACCGCCGATCTTCGACAGGCCGTACAGGCACCAGGGCGACGCAGAGCTGCGGGCTGCTGCTCCTCCTCCTCCTCCTCCTCCTCTCCTCCTCCTCGCTCCTCCTCGTCTCCTCCTCCTCCCTCCTCCCTCCTCCTCCTCCTCCTCCTCCTCCTCCTCCTCCTGCTCTTCTCCCTCCTTCCCTCCGCTCCTCCTCTTCCCCATCCTCCTCGTCCTCTTCTGCTCCTCCTCTCGCTCCTGCTCCTCCTTCTGCCTCTCCTTCTCCTTTATCCTTTCTCATCTTCCTCCTCCTCCTCCTTCTCTCCTCCTCTCCTCCTCCTCCTCCGCCTCCTCCTTCTCGTCCTCCTCCCCTCTTCTCCTCCCTCTCTCTTCTTCTCCTCCTCCTCCTCCTCTTCCTCCTCCTCTCCTCCTCCTCTCTCCTCCTCGTCCTCTTTCCTCCTCCTCATCCATCCTCATTCTCTTTCCTCATCCTCCTTCCACCTGCTCTTCCTGCTCCTCCGTCTTCTCATTATCCTTATTCTCCTCCTCCCTTCTTCCTCCTCCTCCTCCTCCTCCTCCGCCTCTTCCTCCTCCTCTCCTCCTCCTCCTCCTCCTCCTCCTCCTCCTCCTCCTCCTTCTCCTATAAGATCGAGGTCGATTCGGGGAGGGTGTCCTAATGTTCTTCGTGTGTGTTGGATGTTCTTGTGCATCCTAGGGGGGCACCCTGGAATGCTCTTCATTTTGGCCGGCGGAGGGCGGAGGGTCTCATGATATTCTTGCCTACAGTGGAGACCCATGCCAAGAAACACCCTGCTTGCCTCCAGGGTGCCCTTGGTTTCTTGGGTTTCGATGGTTTTGCGATGGACAGCGTGACGCTCCCACACCAAAAATCAATGGACGTCCTGGGGTCTCAGGGTGGGGTTTCTTGTGCCAGGTTTCTGGTGGTCGAGCCCCTACTGTAATGGTCTTGTGGCTGCAGGCGGCCAGCAGGCGAGAGACGCACTCGCGGCTGCGAGGTTGATTAGGCAAGGCTCCGCGCCGCTCCGTCACGCGCGCTCATGTCGGGTGCTGTTAGAAGTGCCCCTGGGTTTCCTGGGTTTCGATGTTTTGCGATGGACAGCGTGACGTTCCCACGCCAATAAATCAATGGACGCCCTGGGGTCTCAGGGTGGGGTTTCTTGTGCCAGGTTTCTGGTGGTCGAGCCCCTACTGTAATGGTCTTGTGGCTGCAGGCGGCCAGCAGGCGAGAGACGCACTCGCGGCTGCGAGATTGATTAGGCAAGGCCCCGCGCCGCTCTGTCACGCGCGCTCATGTCGGGTGCTGTTAGAAGTGCCCCTGGGTTTCCTGGGTTTCGATGTTTTGCGATGGACAGCGTGACGCTCCCACGCCAATAAATCAATGGACGCCCTGGGGTCTCAGGGTGGGGTTTCTTGTGCCAGGTTTCTGGTGGTCGAGCCCCTACTGTAATGGTCTTGTGGCTGCAGGCGGCCAGCAGGCGAGAGACGCACTCGCGGCTGCGAGATTGATTAGGCAAGGCCCCGCGCCGCTCTGTCACGCGCGCTCATGTCGGGTGCTGCTAGAAAGTGCCCCTGGGTTTCTTGGGTTTCGATGTTTTGCGATGGACAGCGTGACGCTCCCACGCCAATAAATCAATGGACGTCCTGAGGTCTCAGGGTGGGGTTTCTTGTGCCAGGTTTCTGGTGGTCGAGCCCCTACTGTAACGGTCTTGTGGCTGCAGGCGGCCAGCAGGCGAGAGACGCACTCGCGGCTGCGAGGCTGATTACAGTCGGGGCCCTGAGGAAGGAACCCTTTTCGTTGGGGAGGGGCTCCGCGTTCCGTAAGGGTTTCACAGCTTGCCTCAGGCTCTCCTGAGGTTTTCGATCTGACATCGAAGGTTGACTCATGGAACCAAGGGGCCTCGTTCCTGATTTAGGGTCCCGCAGGTCCACGCCCCGATTGCAGGCAAGGCCCCGCGCCGCTCCGTCACGCGCGCACGCGTCGGGTGCTGCTGGGGCTTCTTGGGCAGGGCTTCTTGTGGTCGAGCCCCGCCCCAGACGTCGCCGACATCTCTCAGGAGAGGAAAAAACACACAGACACAATTAATCGGCGATTCCAAGGAAAATATGAGAAAGTATGGGAAGTGGGGGGGAAGACAGAAACCCAGAAAATCTGGGAAAATATGGGGAATATTCTTATTTGTGTGTATTTATTTGTGTGTCCTGGGGCCCCTTCAATCTCGCTTCCTTCGGGACGGGGCCTCCCGCCCCGACCTCCCGACCACCTCCCCGGGAGAGACCGGCGCTTCGCCCCGAGCCGCTTTGATCTGAGGGCCCCGCGAGGCGTCTCGCGAGGGCCCCGGGAGGCCGAAGAGGACGAAAGGCCTCCGTCTCGACTTGCTCGAAGCCTCCGGAAAGCCTTCGCCTCGATCTGCTCGAAGAGCCTTTCTTCTTTACAGCAAAAAACTCCGAAAGACCTCCGTCTCGTTGTGTTTGCAGCCTCGCGAAAAAAACCTCCGTCTCGGGTTTCTTCTTTGGCAGACCCTCTGAAAGAACCTCCGTCTCGTTTTTGTTTTGGGGGGGAACGCCCGACGCCTGGGAGACCCGACTGCTCCAACGAGCACAGGCAAGCAGCGCAGGGCCCCGGCAGGGCGCCGCGCGCACGCTCGGAGCGGTAGATCCCCGGAGCGGCAGGGCGCCGCCCGCGCGCGCGGCGCCGGGCGTCGGTCCTCCCCCCTCCTCCACCTCCTCCTCGTCCTGATCCTCCTCCTCCTCCTCCTCCTCCTCCTCCTCCTCCTCCTCGTCCTCCTCCTCCTCCTCCCTCCCCTCCTCCTCGTCCTCCTCCTCCTCCGCCTCCTCATTCTCCTCATTCCTCTTCGCCTCCTCGCTCTCCACCGTGCCCTCCTGCTCCCGCCCCCTCCTCCTCGATCCTCCTCCTCCTCCTCCTCCTCCTCCTCCTCCTCCTCCTCCACTCCTCCTCCTCCTCCGCCTCCGCCATCCGCCTCCTCCTCCTCCTCCTCCTCCTCCTCCTCCTCCTCCTCCTCCTCCTCCTCCTCTTCCTCCTCTCCCCTGATAATTACCCCGTCCCACTTTCCCTGCGGTCCGCCGGGAGGAGGCCCGCCAGAGGGCCCCGTGCAGCAGCGGGCCGCGGCTGCCGTGGAAGGCGGTCGCGGCCCAGAATCACCGGGCGCGTTCCGCTGCTCGCAGAGAGCCTGCTCGCAAACGTCCGACGCAGAACATGTCTTCCTCTGTGCAATGGGTCGTGCATCCCCCTCGGCGGATCCAGCCCCCCGCTTGCGAGTAGCTACTCTGCGAGTAGTGGAACGCGCTTGTCTACAGAAGGCTCACCGAGCGCGTCCCACTGCTCGCCAAGGGCCAAGTTCGAAGACGAAAGAAAACGCCATGAACATGGCACTTTGAGCGCTCCGCGCGGATTTCTTGAACCCGCGCTGGCCCCCCCCCAGCGGCGCCTCTGGCGAGCTCCGCGCGCCAGGAAGGGGGGTCCAGCACAGATCCAAGAAATCCTTGCGGAGCGCCAACACTTTTTGTGTATGCCGCTGTTTCTTTTTTTTTTTTTTTAATGCCTAACTCGCAACCGTCCGCAAAACACAGGTCTTCCCCTGCGCAACGTCTCGTGGATCCCTGGCGGCGGATCCCAGCCATTTTACGAGCAGATGCTTGTGCGAGTCGTGGAACCCGCTCGCCCGAAGGCTCAGGACGAGGCGGCTGCGGCTTTCCACGCGCACGCGGGCGGCCCCGAGCCGCCGTCCGAGGGATCCTGCCCGACGGCAAGAGCAGCACGTCCGCTCGCGAGGGAACCGCATGTCGCCACGAGCCTCGACGGGCTCGACGACGGCCGGGAGGCCGCCCGACAGCCCACTCGGGCGCAGGCTCAGCAGCGCTGCGAGCACGCCTGCGGGCTCTTAGGCGACGAGGGGCCGAGGCGCCCAGGAGCAACGCAGGAGGTGAGCCCCCCTCCCCCCTCCTCCTCCTCCGTCTCCTCCTCCTCCTCCTCCTCTCTCCTCCTCCTCCTCCTCCTCCTTCCTCCCTCCTCCTCCTCCTCCTCCTCCTCCTCTCCTCCTCCTCTCCTCCTCCTCCTCCTCCTCCTCCTCCTCCTCCTCCTCCTCCTCCTCCTCCTCCTCCTCCTCCTCCTCCTCCTCCTCCTCCCCCCCCGCCGAGCGCCAGCGTCATGGCGAGGGCGTGGGCGCGGCGGGCCCAGGCGCCGCGGGGCCCACCCGCGGGCCGCCACCGACGACGCCAGGGCGGGGGCGGGGGAGCAGGCGGCTGCCGGCGTGCAGCCGACCCGCAGGGTAAGGCTGGGCGACCTTCCCAAGGCCCCCCCCCCTCGCGTCCTTCAGGAGGGAGGAAAACACACAGACACAATGAATCGTTGATTCCCCGGAAAATATGGGAGAATATGGGAAGTGGGGGGAAGACAGAAACCCAGAACATCTGGGAAAATACGGGGAATCCTTTTATTGCGCGGGCCTTACGGCCTGTGCCGCCGACCCTGGAGGCATCGGCTCTCGACGGCAAAGGGGGGGAGAGGGGGGGGAGGAGGAAGAGGAGGAGGAGGAGAAGGAGGAGGAGAAGGGGGGAGGAGGAGCAAGAGGAGGAGGAAGAAGAGGAGGAGGAGAAATGGAAAAGGGAGAGAAGGGGGAGGAGGAGGAAGAGGATGGAGCAGGTGTGGACGACGAAAACGATGGAGGAGGAGCAGGGAAAGATGTCTGAGAGGGGTTTGAGACGGCATCAGATGGGTCGCAATGCGTTCCTACACGGATCAATAGTTAGGGGTCTCGAAAGCCGGGGAAGTGAACGAGGGTTGCGACAAGCCGGGGGGGGGGGATGCAACAAGCATTGAATATGGAGCATTCAAAAGGCCAGGTGAGCTGCACAAAAAGGCCAGAAGCGACGCCGGGAGGGCGGCGTATCTGACCCAGGACCCCCCCCGGGACCCCCGCCGGACCCCCCCTGGGACCCCCCCCTGGCGGGGAAGGGAAGAAAGGGAAGGGGCTTCCCTTTGACTCAGAGGCGACGTTGTTCCGTTTCGGTTTGTACCGACACGCTTCAGGAAAAGGTTTTAGGACAGGAGAGAAAGCGACGGGCGCAGTGGAGGAGAAGGCTGTAGGGAAGGGACAGAAGCGACGACGCTGCAGGGAAACGGGAAAAAGGAACGACGAGGAAGATGGGGCAAACAACAAAGCCTCTTCCACACGCCACACGCCGACAGGGTCGGCGGATTTGTGTGTGTATTTATTTGTGTATCTCAGGGCCCCTTCAGACCTTGCCGCCTCGGCCCATCCTCGGCGCCTCGCGCTGGCCAAGCCACCTTCGGAAGCCGCCAGCGTGGCCCTCCAGGGCCCTTGCATCCCTATCGCGCATCCTTGTGGCACGGGTTGGCTGTACACTCCAGCGGCTGCTGTTGGCGGTGCCGCCTTGCCACCGCGCAGGTGCCCTCCGCCGCTCCCGGGCGCACCCTGGCCGCGCGTGCCGCGAGGAGGCCGCCGAGCCATCCCAAGCGGTTTGGGGAGCGGCACCCCGCCGCCGAGAGGCCTTCGCTCGCGCCCTGGCGCAGGCGGCGGCGCTGCGTGCTCGCGTTCGCGCAGGTGCACGTCGCTCGGGCAGCAAGCGGGACTCCGCCGCGGCCAACTCGGAAAGACAACGATCGGATCGGGAGGATGGGGCTGGGAGGAATGATCATCTCATCGCTATTGCCGCGTATGTTGGAGGTGCTGATTCCCAGGTCGTACCCGATATCCTCCCAACCCCTTCCTCCCAGCACGATCAGTGTTTCTTTCTCACCAACTTGCCCGAGGACCCCTGGAAAACCATCAGCACTCCAGCGATACCAACAGGGCGTTCTCCGGGCAGCGCAACTGCAGGAGGATCCACCAACATCGCGAGGCAGGCGTTCGCCACCGCCAGTTTTGAGGGCAGCCGCCCGCGCCAAGAGAGAGGCCGTGGTCGAGGGGCGCTCTGCCCCGGTCATTGCTGCTCGCGTGTTGCCCACGCTCGGCGCGCAGTGCCCCAGTGAGCGCATGCTGATACGTCGAGGCGGTGTTTTGACACTCAGCGGAGGGCCAGTTGAGACGCTGGCAGTTGGCTTTCGGGGGGGGCCCTCGTCGCCACGGCTGGACGCAGTTCAGAAAACTGGTGCGTTTGGACCCTCGGAGGGGTGTGGGTACCGATTTTGAGCCGCTCTTGAGCTTCCAGTGTCTCAAGTCATCGGTGAGGGACCTTTGGACCGTGCCAGGCGATTGGAACACGCCTCCCCCCCCGCCAATTCCTGGTCCAAGAACATGTGGTCGCCCCAAAGTAGGAGGCGAGGTTTCTGCGCCTTCCAGCGGCACTACGACGTGTAACAAAGGACGGGGCTCTTTCATCGGTGGCGCCATCAGCAGCGATTGATTGCCTTGTTGCAAACATGAGATTGGAAGTCGTCGCCAAAGTGCCTTGGATCTTTCACGTGGTCAGGCAAGCAGAGCCAGTTGGACTGAGCACCGTAAGTGCCCAAAGAGCTCCCCACAATGCCACGACAGAGGAAGAACGGACAATCCGACAGCAAGTCCCAGCGCGGCGTGGCCCAACAGAAGACACGCCAACGAGAGGCGCTGTAGCAGCACTGTCAAGGTGCCTACGACGAGCTGCACAGCAACTCACGAGGCCCAGGGGGCCCATGGGGCTCCACAATGGGGCGAGAAGCTGGGGGCACCTTGAGCCAGGGGTACCTTCAGCAACACCGATCATGATGGACCAACTTTTCGACTGCGGCACTTGGCCACCGCTCTCGTCATGACGGACGACTTCCTCGGTAAGGCGGGCCTTGTAGTGAGGCGACTAGGCTCCAGCATGGAGCTCAACGATCTCCTCGCGGCCCTCTGGAAAACCAATGGCAGGAACCTCTTTTTGAGAGCGCCGACGGCCAGTTCCCTGCGCGGTAGGGAGCAGCCCAGGATCTCGACATCATAAAGACCCGAGCATCTTCTTTGGGTGGATGGCAAAGGGTGAAATCTGAACTGCCGTTTCGATTGGTTCTCGAGGCTTGCACCTGCAAAAGGTGAGTCACAGGACGGACTGGTCTTCGAGGCGCCCAAGGCTCGTATATATGGATTGCACCCTCGTCTCAGAAAGCGATCACCACGACGGCCTCGGTCGATCCTCCTCCCTCCCTGCTCCTCGCCAGGGGCATGGGGGACATGGCCGGCGGCGTGGTTGGCATGCTGGAGGCGGCCCCGGCCTGCCCCTCCCCCGCGCGCCCGCGCGGGCGGGCTCTCCCGCCTCCTCGCCGGCGCCCTCGTCCTGCCCCCCTTCGGCTGCAGTCAACCCGCATGGTGAGGTCAGGCGATCGCAGACATGGCTCAAGGGGGCGTAGGGGGAGGAGGAGGAGGAGGAGGAGGAGGAGGAGGAGGAGGAGGAGGAGGAGGAGGACGAGGAGGACGAGGAGGACAAAGAGACGTGTGGAGGAGGAGGACCGAAGGAGGAGGCAGAGGAGTGTAGACGTGCACGAGGAGGAGAAGAGGTGGAGGAGGAGGAGGAAGAGGGAGGAGTGAGGAGGAGGTTGGGAGGTAGAGGAGGGAGGCGAAGACGAGGAGGGAGGAGGGGGAGGAGGAGGAGGAAGGAGGTAGGAGGAGGAGGAGGACGTCGACGAGAGGAGGAGGAACGAAGAGGAGGAGGAGTAGGAGGCGAGGAGGGAGGAGGACGAAGGAGGAGGAAGCGCGGAGGAGGAGGACGAAGAGGAGGAGGTGGAGGAGGCACGAAGAGGAGGTGAGAAGAGGAGGAGGAGGAGGAGGAGGAGGAGGGAGGTGGAGGAGGAGGAGGAGGAGGAGGAGGGGGCGTGGATAAGCGACGGGTCCCGCTTACATGGGAAACCGCGGTTTGTCGCCGCCGACCGAGGCGGCACCTGCCGCACTTTGGGGAGGGCACCTCCCTCGATCCATGGGTTTGGCGACCTCTTGCCAAACCCATGGATCACTAATCCGTGTTTGCGCGTCCCCGATAAGGGTGAGCAACTTTCCCAAGGGTGCCCTTGCATCTTTGCCTGATCGGTCCATCTTTGGCCACTTTCGTTGGCCGCGCCCCGATCGAGGAGCTTTTTAATGGGCGTCCGAGGCCCCTGCATCCTTTTCACGCGTCCTTGTGATACGGTCCGACTGTACTCGTAAGGGTGACCCTTGGCCGGAGTGACCTTTCGTGCGGGCCCAACCTAGACCCCCTCGCGCCATCAACAAAAGCACGACGGGCGGTTTTTTATATCTCCTGCTTCCCAGGGCCCCTGCCGGGCCCCAGGACCGTCCAGAAAAGGCCAAGGACGAAAAACCAGTCCCAGGGAATGGGTCCAGACCTTTGGGGGATCGACGTCATGAAAAAATCATGACGTCGGGGGCTTGGGACTGGCCCCCCCCCAGTCGCCGAACAAATGCGCCGAGTGCGAGGCGACAGCGGCGGCCCGCGCGCCTGTGTGCTGGCTCCCCGGCGGCCCCCCGCCAAGCCGCGCACCAGAGCCCCAAAGAAGCCCCAAGAGCGCTCCAGGAGGACCCCCAAGAGGGCCCAAAGAGGCAGCAGTCATTGATTATCCGTGTGTGTGTTCGGTATTTGTCGCGTGCTCGCGTTTTTCAGGCTTCCGACCTTCCGAGGCGGCCGCAGAGGCACCCACTACCGCCCAAGACGGCCCAAGATTTACCCAGGGTCGCTCTTGCGTGTAGCCGACCTGCGACGCCCCTTGGGAACGCCCAGGGCTACAGCCAAGACGCTGAAGTTGCCGGGCGATTCGTCATTCTAGGCGCCTCCCAGAAGGTGTCCGATTAGGTGGGGTGGGAGGATCGCGCCGCATCGCCGATCCATCGGCGATGCGGCTCGCTGTGGCGCCCGATTCTCTCCGCGCCGACGTCGCCGATACATCGCCGACGTCGCCGATGCATCGCCGATGCATCGGCAATGAATGCATCGATGGTGCATCGACGACGTATAGTTGTTTCAATCCCAGCGTTTTTCCTCGATTTCGGCATTTGGCACCAAAACGGATCCAGAGCGAAAGTCATCCCCGGGGAAGCGGTCGGGGCTTCTGGGGCCGGGGATTGAAACGAACATATCGGCGGATGTCTGGGATGGGGGGGGGGCTGGAGCGACAGTTGGCCCGAAGAGCCCGAAGGGCCCGAAACGCAGTATATCTCCCCTTTTTCGCTCTTGACTCGATCCGCAACCAGGGGAGTGAGTGAGCAGTGGCCTGAAGGCGCAGCATCCCGCCGCATTGGTCCCCAGGGTGGCCCCAAGCCCACTGGACAAGCAGCGAACCGCCCCCCGGAAGAGGCGAGGAGGAGGAGGAGGAGGAGGAGGAGGAGGACGAGAAGGAGGACGAGGAGGAGGAGGAGGAGGGAGGAGGGAAGAGGAGGATAGGCAGAGGAGTGAGGACGAGGGGGGAGGGAGGAGGAGGAGGAAGGGAGGAGGAGGAGGAGGAGGAGGAGGAGGAGGAGGAGGGGAGGAGGAGGACGAGGACGAGGACGAGGTCGAGGAGGAGGAGGTGGAGGACAGGAGGAGGAGGACATGGGAGGGACAGGAGGAGGAGGAGGAGGAGAGGAGGAGGAGGAGGAGGAGGAGGGAGAGGAGGAGGAGGAGGAGGAGGAGGAGGAGGTAGCAGGGAGGTAGGGGAGGAGGAGGAGGATGGAGAAGGAGAAAGAGGAGGAGGAGGAGGAGGAGGAGGAGAGGAGGAAGAGGAGGAGGAGGAGGAGGAGGAGGGGCTCGGCGACGCGACGGAGGTAAGACAAGGGAGGGAGGAGAGGCGGGGGGGGGGGGTTAGGGCGGTCCCCAGCTTACCTTGGGGGTGTGGCCCCCTGGGTGGGCCTTCTCCATCCTCTTCCTCGTCCTCGTCCTCCTCCTCGTCCTCCTCCTCCTTCCTTTCCTCCTCCTCTCCTCCTCCTCCTCCTCACCTCCCTCCTCCCTCCCTCCCTCCCTCCCTCCCTCCCTCCCGCTCGGGGGCTCAGAGTCGGAGCCCGGCGAGTCGCCCCGACCCCTGGCTCGCTGGCGACCGCGCCGCCCAAGCCCTCGCACAGAGGGCACATCTGAGCCTGATAGGCCGCAGAAAAGACAGAGGATTTGCATCGTGCGGGGCCCGAAAGTACACTCCACCAGCACCAAACACCACCACCACCATCACCACCACCACCACCACCACCACCACCACCACCACCACCACCACCACCACCACCACCACCACCACCTCGTTAAACCCATCCCTCCCCCAGGAGAGGAGGGGAGGAGGAGGGTAGAGGAGGGAGGCGGACTGGAGGTGGTGGTGCAAATTCTCGGGACCCGCACAGCAAGCTGCCGCGGGCTGCCCAGACGCATTGTCCGGGCTGGTCGCGGAGGCCGCCCTCCTGCACGCGAGTGGGCTCCACGCGCCGTCTCTCCGCCCAGGGGATGGCCTCCGAAGGAGCAGCGGTGCCATAGGGTGCCTCCCGCTCCGCCGCACGCCCTGCATGCGGAAGTGGAGGGAGGCCCGTGGGCGCCGAGCCGGGCCCGCGCCCAGAGCGCGCCGCGCACGGCAGCTCGCAGCCTCCCTTAGCAGTCGCGCAGGACCCGCAGAGGCTGCGCGGCCACCTGCTCGGGCCGGGCCGGTGGCCGTTGGGGGTGACCTCGAGCGGGGGCTCTGAAGAGCAGGGCCCCAGAGGGGCCCACACGGGGCCACTTCGGGGCCCCCGCGGGCTCCAGAGGGGCCCCAGAGGGCGCCTTCGGGCGTCCGCTTCTCCCCCCCCCCGCCCGCGTGGGTCCCCCCGCAGTGCCGCCCGCCCGAGCTGCGGGGCCGCCCCCGCGCGCCCCTGCCGCCCAGAGGGCGAGGCGATCCGACGCGCGCACGGCCGGCGGGGCGGCGAGGGCCCGCGCGCGGCCGACGGGGGAGGCTCTGGGAGTTCACCCAGCTCTGATGCGATCCAACTTGCTCGTATGGCGCTCTCCAGCCCGTGCCTTGTCAGTACGCGTGTCAACGTTTCGCCCCTGCTGGGGCTCGTCAGGACTCGAGTGAAAATGGCAGCGGCATGCGAGCACGGCAAGTGCATGATCGACACCATACTGCGTGCAATGCGATACGGCAAACATAAGCACGTGCATGCATGCGGCGATCTCTCAACAACACCCCTGTATTGGATGACTGCTGCTTCTGCCGCCGGGAGGGGCAACAAGTCGTGCCCCCCCGCCCTCACTTGAACGGAGGATTGCAAAAAAACGAAGGATTGCAAAAAAAACCTTCGTTTTTGCAATCCTTCGTTTTTTTGCAATCCTTCTTTTTTTTGCAATCCTCCTTTTTCCCCCTCCTACCTTCTCCCCCTCCATGGGGGCCACATGCGAACCCTACCCCTACCCCCCACGATTTCTAAGGGGGTGGGGGGGGGGTCACTTCGCTCGGGAGCTCCCCACCCCCTCAGAAATCGTGGGGGGTAGGGGTAGGGTCCGCATGTGTCCCCCCACCCTCCGGCCCGCGCGTGGCCGACGGGGGAGGCTCTGGGATTACACTCGTCTCTGATGCGATCCAACCTCCTCCTTCTTCCCCCTCCTCCCTTCAGGCGATCGCAAACATGGATTGAGGGGGCGTGGATTAGCGACGGGTCCCGCTTCCACGGGAGATCGCGGATTTCCGCCGCTGAACGAGGCGGCACCGGCCGCATTTCGGGGAGGGCACCTCCCCGATCCATGGATTGGGCGACCGCGCGCCAAACCCATGGATCGCTAATCCATGTTTGCGCGCCCTCGATTCCTTCCTCCCCGAGGAGGAAGAAAGATTGAGACTAGAAAAGGAGGAAAAGGAGGTGAGGAGGAGGGGGAGGGAGAGGGCGGGAAGGAGGAGCAGCAGCAGCAGCAGAAGGAGGACGAGGAGGACGGCGGCAACGACCGATGGAGACGACGATTGGCAGACGGAGACGACGACGACGACGACCAATCGACGGAAACGACGACGACAGACGACTGACTATGAACGGCGAGCGATGGACGGAGACCACGGCGTTGACGACGACGACGACGACGACAACGACGACGACGACGACGACGACGAAGACGACGACGACGACGACCAGCGCCGCCGGGAGGTGATCGAGTCCGACTTCGCGCGCCTCGAGGCCGAAACTGAGGCCGCCGAGGCGGCCGCACAGAAGGAGAGCGCCTCTCCGCCCGCTCGGCAGCACGCGTCGACGCCGTCGTGCGCTTTCGCCTTCGGGTCGTCGACGCCGTCGGTTCGTCT